TTTACTCAGTTTCTCAATATGAACATTCCAGGATAAGTTCTCATCAATGTGTACGCCGAGTGATTTTGTATGAGAGACTTGTTTAACTGGAACGTTATTTATTACTAATAAAGGAGTAGATTGAAAAGTGTTTATTCTTTGGCGAAAGCCAATTAGCATAAATTCAGTTTTAGTCTGGTTTAAAGTAAGTTTGTTTGCTGATAACCATTCACTGACACTAGCAAGATCCTCGTTAAGATTATGATTAATTTCATGTATGTTATTACTTGCATATGTCAAATTAGTGTCATCAGCAAACATTCGTGCCCGAGAGTGTATTAGACAATTAGGAAGATCATTAATATAGATTAAAAATAAAAGCGGGCCTAATATAGTTCCCTGAGGAACCCCACATTGTAGTAATCGATTCGAGGAGAAATGACCGTTAACAAAACACTTTTGATTACGTTCATTTAGATACGATCTTAACCAGTTACCCGCAGTTCCCTTGATTCCATATGCATTAAGTTTGTTCAGCAATATTTCATGATCTACAGTGTCGAACGCTTTTTTAAGATCAAGAAACATTACAGCATTTACATTACCACTGTCAATATTATAAGCCCATTCGTTGGTAGCCTCAAGAAGAGAGGTGACAGTAGAATGTAGGCCTCGAAATCCCGATTGATAATTAGTTAATAATTCATTTTCAGCTATAAATGTATATAGCTGATCATAAATTACCCTTTCAAAAACCTTAGCCACAATAGGAACAATAGAAATGGGACGATAGTTATCAACGCAATTGCGTTTGCCTTGTTTGTATATAGGAATAACTTTAGCACATTTCCATTCGTTTGGGAATATGCCTGTAGTGATAGAACGATTAAAAATAAGACAGAGGGATTCTGCAATTAAGTCAGAGCATTCTCTAATTAACCTAGAAGATATTTTGTCTAAACCTGTTGCTTTAGAAGTGCTTAACGTGGACAGTAATGCGTAAACGGTTGGAATACTTATTTCCCTCAGTTGAAAAATAGCATTATTTTGGTTAGGTAAATAATCAAGATAAGACCGATTGCTATAATTAAGATTAATTTTATCTGCAAGGTCTGGTCCGATGTTTGAAAAGTGATCGTTAAACGCATCAGCAATTTTGCTAGGGTCATTAATTAATACGCCATTCAAATCAACCTCGCCAATGTGAGGGCTTTTCCTATTCTTAGAAGTAAGTTCATTAATGATCTTCCAGGTCTTATTAGGATTGTCTTTATTATCATTGAAAGAATTTTTGAAATAGGCTTGCTTTGCGTAGAAGATTTCAGAATTAACAAAATTACGCATTTTCTTAAAAGAAAGCCAATCTTGAGTATCGTTGGAACGAATTGCTTTAATTTTTAGGACATCTCGCCTATGCATTTTATCTTTCAAAAGAGATGTGATCCAAGGCGATTTAATAGCCTTAACGCGCTTAGCTCGAATTGGGGCGTGCTTATCATTCGACAGAATTGAATGGTGGTCAACTTGCAGTCAAAAGAGTGAAAAAATCAGGCCTAGAAAATATATTTCTCTTCCTGGCAGCAAAATCCAAAAGTAAAAATTTCCTGTGTAAGTCAAATATAAACCTTCCTGCATACAGTGGCGGAAATTCACTTTTTCCGAGGGGGGGGGGCAAAGCCTCCTAAATTTCCGACAAAACTTTCAAATTTCCGATGTACTCCCCATTTGCACTTGAAAAGACTGTTTTTAGCCCTCTTTTAGGTCAAAATTTCTGAAAATTCATCAATTTTCCGGA